ACACACACACACACACACATACACACACACACACACACACACACGCGCGCGCGCGCATACACACAAACACCCCCCCACACACAAACACACACACACACGCGCGCGCGCACACACACACAAGCACACGCGCGCACACGCACACACGCATTCGCGCGCACACACACGTCACGCGCACACACACACGCGCCCACTCTAAAAACACTGTAGTCAAAATATAGTAGGCAAATAAATTTAACTAGTACATACAATACAATACGATTTACAGTACAATGATTAAATTTGACTAGCATAATACTTTGTTCAGCGATGGATGCGTTCGTGATAAGGAAGTTAGAAGAATGTGGCCTTTCAGCCTACACAGATGTATTTAAAGGCATGTGTGTTGTTATTTAGTGTTATCTGTACGGGACAGTGAACAGTTGAATACCTCAATTTTAAGTTGAAACTGCATTCTGAGTGTACTGTATACAGGCCCGTAGCCAGCTTTATATTGGGGAGGGGGGGTTCGTTTTTCAATGTTGGCAATGTGCTCGGCAGGGGCGTGTACAGGATTTGTACCAGGGTGGGGTCTAACCGTAACCCAAAGTTGCGAGCACGCGAAGGGGGGGTCTGGGGACCCCTCCCCCACAAATTTTTGAAAATTAGACCCCCTCAGATGCGTTTTCTGCGCGAGCAAGGGGGGGGTGCGGACTCCCTGGACCCCCCCTTGTACACGCCCCTGCTCGGGGGGAGGGTGTGGGAGGGGGGTGTTCACTGTTCACCCTTTTTTTTGGCTTGGGGGTGCTCGTTCGAACCCCCTGAATCCCCCCTGGCTACGGGCCTGCTGTATATATAGTGTATAGCGCTAACTATGTTGAATCTGGGCAACGAGAAGTGACCATCTTATCTTAGCCAAATTCTGCACTCTTGTCGTTAAATTTTTAAATCATGAGATTAAAAACTCACAAGTAAAATCCTGGATCTGTCCCTAAATTTGAATAAAAATTCAAGGTCTGATCTTAGCAACCGGTAGCTTGGCTCTACCATAGCCATTCACATGTAACTGCATGTGGCGGAGCGAAGGTCTATATAGGCCTGGTATGGTAGAGTTTGTTAAGATTATTTACTACTCAGTGGTATTAATTTTATTTTAAACAATTATGTCACTAATCGAGTAATAACAGTGTTTGTTTTCCGAGTAGTATAGATGTAGAGTTAGGTAGGAAAAGTCTGTCGGCTTATTGGACTAATCTAAATTAATTTTTTGTTGCAGGTTTCAACTTTGCAGAGAATAAAATTGATTTTATTTGATTGGAGGCATTAATACAGATTGGAAAAACACCAGAATTGTTAGCAGAGCTATATATATATATATGCTATATATAGGTATATAATATATATATATGTGCTATATATAGCAGACGGAGAAGAAAACTAACGGAAGACGCTAGGTTCTGCATTCGCTACCTCTATACCAGCTAATCCCCTATTGGAAGAAGAAGAAGAAGAGCGAAAGGGGAAGAAGATAAGAACCAGGCCTTCCAATCGTCCAGCGGAAGTTGGAGAAGCAGACGGAGAAGATGTCGAGAGGAGCAGCAGATGAGCAGATGAAGAAGAAGAGAAGACACGGCGACGATAGGGTAAGCTACATCGTAAAAACACTGTATGCATATGTTGTACTGTGATTTTAAGTGATGAGCTCCGAGCAGGATCTTGTAGCAGCGTAGTCTTGTAACAACCAGTAGATATGACGTAGTCGCAGATTCGTTGTGTAACTCTGGCTTTATTAGTAAACTCGAACACATACAAAATATTTACATAATACTACATACGACAGCCTAGGTTTCGTCCATATTGGAACCCACCTGGCGTCTCTCCTCTCTGGCTCTCTACATCGTATATGTCTATCGTCTATCTCCTCTACATCGTATATGTCTATCGTCTCTCCTCCCTTCTCACTAGCTTCGCCGTCTTCTCACCCTTCCTTCTCCCTCTTCTCTTCTCAACCCTTCCCCAGCTTCTCCCTCCTCCTTCTCCACAGCTTCTCCTTCTCAGTCCTTCCTCATTTCCCTCTTCTCCCCTTCCTCCTATTCCACAGCTTCTCCCCTCCTTCTCCATCAGCTTCTCCCTCTCCTCTTCCTCATTCTCACACAGCTTCTCCCCCTGCCCCTCACACAGAATTCGTCCTTCTCCCCCTTCCTCCTTCTTTACCAGCTTCTTCCCCCTCTTCCTCTTCACAAGCTTTCTCCCTTACTCCCCCTCATACGTCTGCACCAGCGTTCGCCTTTTCCCGCCTCCTCCTCTCTGCCACGCAGCTTCTCCCCTCCTCTTCTCCAAGCACACTTCTCTTCTTATTCTCCCCTCACGCCTTCTCCCCTTGCACTCTTTGCTCCGCCCAGCTGTCCCCCGTCCTCCTTTCCTTGACCAGCTTCTCGCTTCCCCCCTTCCACCTCTTCTCCACCAGCTTTTCCCCCTCCTCCTTTTCCACTTTCTCCTTTCTCACCAGCTTCTCCCCCTCCTCCTTCTCCGACCCAGCTTCTCTCCTCTTTCTCTTCTTCACTAGCTTCTCCCTACTCACCTACTAGTACTACTTCTAAATTCCGTCTCTCTCCCTCCCCCTCCCTACACTGCTCCTTCGCTACCCTGTACCTGAAATTGTATGTTAGTGTGCACACACCTATCGTAACACAAGAACGAGCTGTCAGTTGGTCGGTCGTCGGGCGGGCGGGGCTAGTCTCAGATATTCGGCACTGTCAGATTTATTTCGCGCGACACCGGACTGAAGTAAAATGCGGTTGAATAGTCAAAAGGTGTGTGTGTGTGTGTGTGGTGTGTGTGTGTGGTGTGTCGTGTGTGTGTGTCGTGCGGTTATTGCTGTACGTAGTGCGTTGTGCGCGCGCGTGTGTGTGTCGCTGTCGCGGCTACGTGCGTTCGCACGTACGTACGTACGTCGGCGTGTGCTGTGTAGTGCGTGCGACTGTGCAGGCGTATGCTTTTTGCGTGGTTGTGGCGGTGTTATTGGGGGGGGGGCGGCGGCTGCGTGCGTATATGAGTATCTGTGCGCGTGTGCGTTTTTGCGTGGTTGTGGTGTAGCTGTGTGTGTGTGTGATGTGTGTATGTGTGTGCGGCGCGTTTGTTGCGTGTACGTACGTTCGTGTGTGTGTCTGTGCGCCGTCACTGCGGGTGCGCGTACGTACGTACGTTACGTGGGGGGGGGCGTGCGTCGCGAGATATGTGTGTGTATCTCTTGCGCGTATGCGTTTTTTGCGTGCGTTGTGTGTGTGTTGTGGTGTGTGTGTGTGTGTGTGCTGCGCGCGCTGTTTTGTGTGTGGGTGTGTGCGTGGCGTGTGTGTGGTGCTGTCTGTGTCTGTGCTGTACGTGCGTTGTGGTGTGTGTGTTCGTGCCGTGTTAGCGCGTGCGTGCGTGCGTGCGGCGCGCCCGTGCGTGCGTGCCGGTGCCGTGCGCACGTGTCCACGTGCGTTGCGTTGTGTGGTGCGCCAGCATGTGTTTCGTATGTACGTGCGTGTGCACTGTGGTCTGTGTGTGTGTATGGCGTGCGTGCCTGCGCATACGTGCGTTTTTGCGTGGTTGATGTGCTGCGTGTGTTTCTGTGCGCGTGGTGTGTGTGCGCGGCGTTCGTGTGTGCGCGCGTGCGTCTTCTGTGGTGTGTGTGTGTGTGTGGTGGTGTGTGTGTGGTGTGTGTCGCATTGTTTCGTGTGTGGGTACACGCACGGTACATGCGGCGTACACGCAACGTGC